TGCAGGGGTAGCTCTTGGCTTACATCCTGCAGCTCAGGAAGCTACCACAAAGTCCCAAGTTGACCTCTTATTGTCCTGAGTGTTGGCACTGTGTGTGCCACTGAACCCAATCGTGGTGGCCAAGGTTGTCAAATACGGCGGTACGTGGTGAGAACAAGCATGATTAAGTGTCACAGACACTTAAAAGGAAAGTCAGGATTTTATTATCAGAAGAAAGGGGCATAAATGTGGGGCAGGCAAAAACAACCTCTGCATAATTAACTTGCCCAAGGAAATTCAGACAGTAATGGTGGAAAACTCCCAAAACTCATGGCCCTTGAGTTGATTTTGACTCATAGCAACCATATAGAACAGAGCAGAACTGTCCTGTAAGGTTTCAAAACTGTAAATCTTTATGGAAGCAGACTGCCACATCTTTCTCCCGTGGAGTAGCTGGTGGGTTTGAGCTGCCAACCTTTCAGTTAGCAGCCAAGCCCTGAAGCAGTATACCACCATGGCTTGTTAAGTGGTGGAACTGGAATTCTCATAATAACCTGGCCATCTTACGCCAGAAACTGGTATGCTTAACTATTAAGTCATTCTGTGTCCTTATTCACTTAATGTTTACTGAGATTACAAACCTAGGAATGGTCTAGGGTATATGAGAAGTACAAATAAGAAACCTTTGAGAAATTGTTGAACCTGAGGGCTCGGGACCATGGTCGCAGGGCACATCAAGCTAAACTGGCATAACATACTACACAGAAACTTTGTTCCACATTCTACTTTAGCGAGTAGTGACTGGGATCTTAAAAGCTTGCAAGTGGCCATCTAGGTGCAATGATGGGTCTCTCCTTGTCCACCTTGTCCAGAGCAAAGAAGAATGAAGAAAACCAAAGACACATGGAAACAATTAGTCCAAGCGACTGGTATACCATGGGATCCTCAACCTATATGGCTGTGAGACCAGAAGAACTAGATGGTGCCTGGCTACCACTGTCAACCACTTGGAGGGGGATCTGTATAGGAGGTCCTGGATAGAGAGGGAGATCATTGTGGGACAAAATTCAAAATCATAAAAAAAAAAAAAGAGCAAGACCAGGTTCACTGGTCTGATAGAGCCTGGTGGAACCGCTGAGACTATGGCCCCTGGCTGCCCTTCAGGTCTAGAATTGAACCCACTTCCGTGGCTTCCAGCCAAACAAAAGACAGGCATATGAGTTGAACATTTACAGTAGGTACATACACTCCTTAGAGAGATCAATCATGGGAGAATAGAAGGGCTGTGTATGTACAGGGAGAAAGCTCAGGGGACAGGAGTGCAAGGGAGGGAAGGACACAGGGAAGAGGTGGCTATGGGGAGGAAGTGGGAAGAGAGCTGTTGCGTTGTGGGAAATTATAGTCAATGTCATGAGACAAAGTGTATGTAACTGTTGTATGGAAAATGAATTTGCACTATAAATTTTCACCCAAATCACAGTAAAAATTTAAAAAAAAAAGAAACCTTTGAGAAATACTTAATTGCTGAGTTCTATAGTCTTACCGCTTTAAAAACTTAGAAGAAACTGGAGGTTTTTAAAATAGAAGGGACTTGAAATATTGATTACTGTTGTTATTAGATTCAGAAATGCTTTATAGGAAATCTTGGATTTTAGAAATTGAAGTTTAGCCAAATGCTAACAAAAGTGTTGCTATATCGTCTCTCCTTAGTGTTGGACCAAGTACAGACCTTTCTCCCACAGATGGCCCAGGCAAATGAAAAGTTAAGAAAAGAAATGGCAGCTGCACCACCTGGTCGGTTTGATATTGAAAATGTTGATGAGACTCTTGGAAAAATTATACAAATGGTAATTATTCTTTGTTTCCTTCTGTAAAGTGAAATTACCAGTGTGCCTTATCATGTTTAAAAAAAGCTTTTTCGTTTTAATTCCAAGTGTTGTTTTCCTTCTTGGGAGATCAGCCAGTGTTCCCCTCCCCATCTCCCATAGGTACTCAAGTAGTTTCATGAGCATGGCCTCGTAGGTCTGGAAGCATCCCTGTGTGGAGTTTGGGGATTCAGTAGGACGGAGTCACAGGGAGGTGTTTTCAAGTCAGATGTTACATTTGCTACCTTGAATCATCAGTTTACTAATCTTTCCCCTATCCAAAACCCAATCAATATTATTAGTCTGATTCATTGATTGTGCAAAAAATAAATGATGTATTTAACAGAATAACTGAGTATATAAGCCATATGGGAAAATTGTTGCCCGATTTATTCTTGTATCTTGTTTTACATTGGAATCCCCTTTGTAATACTTGTGTCTGGACAAGGTTGGCACTCCTGTTAATGATAATACCTAATTCATCAGTGAGTCTGGTCAGCTCTGTCTTCAGAATATTCCAAATCCCACTACTACTTAACACCTCCACTGCTACCTACCGTGGTCCAACTAATCTGGTCTCTCCTTTGGACCGTTGTGGAAATTTCCTGGCAGGCCTTCTGGGCTTCCACTCTCACATCCCCAGGGGCTGCTCTTCAGAATGTGTGGTGCATAGTCTGGGGCCCATGAAGCTTCCCACCACATTTCTGATTAAACACAGAGTCCTTCAGGGGCCTGTGTGTTCTACCTCTGGTCTGTGTCTGGCCTCATTCCTACTCAGTCCCCTCATTTCCTGCATGCTGGCTCCGACCCCTTTGTTCCTGACCTTTTCCTTGTGGTTGGTTCCCTTTTCATTGAATGCTCTTCTCCCAGTTTCTGCCTTTTGAATCTCTTGACTATGTCACCTTCTCAGCAGGCTGTCCTGATGACCCTATCATCTTACCCTATTTTATTTTCCTTTATCATCACTACCTGGCACTGTATTTCAGTGTATATGCATTTCTTGTCTGTCTTTCAGCACTGGAGCAGCGGTCAGTGCATGTTTTCTGTAAGAGGCCAGAGAGTAAACACCGTTCTATGGGCCATAGGGTCCCCACAGTGACTATTTGGCTCTGCCGCTATGGTGCAGCAGCAGCTATAGACTCTATGTAAACGAAGACCCATGGCTTACAAACTTTGATTTATGGACACGGAAGTGTGCACGTCACATGCTTTTCCTGTTGAACAAAATATTACAATTTTGAGTTTTTAATCATTAAAAAAAAAAGTCAAATCTATCCTCAGCTTATGCGTTGAACATAAGAAACAGGAAACAAACTGGATTTAGCCCGTGGGCTGTAGTTTGTGATCCACAAGGTTTTTTCCCCTGTGGAGTCTCTAGTGCCTGGCTCACGTTAATAATTGTTAAATGAATATTGCAAAACACATTCAGGGTCTTTAAAACTAGCTTGTGGGAGACTGCTTACCTATAGTTAATATAAGTCATTATTTTGGACTGTGGCAACTGAAAGATACAAGGGCCATATTTTATCTGATAGGAACACCAGAAATTAAAAACATTTCTTGCCCTTGTGCATCACTGTTTGTACTGAATGTTCATTGTGCCAACCAAAATCAAAACCTCAATGCCGTCTAATCAGCTCCGTCTCATAGAGACCCTATAGGACAGAGTAGAACTGCCCCATGGTGTTTCCAAGGCTGTAAATCTTTATAGAAGCATACTGCCTCATCTTTCCCCCGTGGAGTGACTGGTGAGTTTGAAGTGCCGAACTTTTGGTTAACAGCCAAGCACTGTGCCACTAGGGTGGCTTCCTATTTCCCAGGGTTGTTTCCTTGTGACTTCCCTAGGGAGCCTCCCTGCAATCAGTTTCCTCCATGATGTCTTTTGCAGGATGTGGCCTTGTTTGAGATGAATCAGTCTGACTCAAAAGAAGAGGCCAGTTCAGAAGAGAGTTCAGAGGACAGTTCAGAATCTGAGGATGAAGATGTCAGCATTCCTTGTGAAGTCACCATAGATAATATTAAGCTTCCTAATTCAGAAGGTGGAAAAGGCAAGATCGAAGTGTTGGACAGTCCTGCGAGTAAGAAGAAGAAACAGTGAAATAAATGACCTGTAAGGAGTCAGATGCTGGACGCCTGCTAATTTAGTGAGAAGAACGTGGCTTGCGATTGTTTTGCATCTCAGGTACCTGTGTGGTTTTACATAGGATTGTATGTATTTTGTTCCTTAGAGAAACAAAAGCTGGCATTTAAGGGATGGACTGCTTATGGAATAGACTGATCTTTGATCTCATGCTAACAAGACTTGAGTGTTTTGAAAGCTTCACTTGGTGAACTTGTTGGCATCTTCTTTCTTCAACATGGACTTCAGAAATACCAACTTATTTTGTCAAATATATAGATTATCTGTGTTGTTTTGTTTTCTAAATTACTCCACTGGATAAAACAACCTAATACTTTTAGGTTATTATAACATCAAAGAATTTTCTCATGTCCAAGATACAGTCACTGAAGAAGAAATTTTTTTTTAGGAGAAAGATTTTTATAAGAAAAAAATTACATATATTTCAGCTACTTTGAGCTATTTCTATTTTCATTTAAAAAGTATCCCATTCCAGTTTGAACTTGAGAGCTTGTGCTCTGGCTTGATTGTTGTCAGTGGCTCTGTAGCCACGAGATACGTGTAGAATTTATGGTTGGGAACGTTGGGGTTTTGTTTTGTATTTTTTCCTTTTTAATAAAGCAGCCCTTTTTGTCTCAGTTACTCAACATGTGCCACACAGCTGCCCACATTTTGAGACCTGTCATGTATAGAAAACGGAGACGTCACAAAAATAGGAGGGAATGATACAAAGAGACAACAGGTGGTCTTCCTTTTCCAAAGTCCAAATGGTCACAGGCTGACGTTTTTCCTCATTCTTAACATTACTAAACTTGTTTGGGGTCTCATCTGCCAGCAGTCTGACTTCTGCTCAGGAAGTAAATCTAAGAAGTTAAAGGACTGCCTGTCTGTCAAGCTAATGCAGCCTGGTTGCCTAGTATTTCAGGGTTTTGTGAACCCTGTTCTTTCCTGCTCCTCTAAGGCACCTTATAAATACTCTGAAGATTATTCTCAGGGTCCTTTTTGGTCTTTCCCATTGGAAGTTGGAACTGAATGTTATCTTACCCACTAGCTTTCCTGGGCTCTGCCTTCATCTTTGAAGTAGATGAATAGAGATGGAAATGAGCTTCCTCAGCTGGAAAGGGTATCGTACTGAACTGTGTGGCACAGAACACGGCTCTGGTTCATTCTTGGCTTAAATATGCAAAGATTGTCTTCAACTGGATATTGGGCTACGTTTGAGAAGAAGTGAACTTGTCTGCTTTACTGTTTAGCCTGGTATGTGGCACATAGTAGACACTGAATAATATTAATAAATTGAATTAATAACTGTACAGGACATTTTAAGCCATGGTAGACTATTATAAAAGTGTAACTTTACAGGTAATACTGAAATATCCATCTAGAAATAAGGTATGAGTAATAAGTGAAAGAGAATGGTCAATCTAGCAATAGATACTAGCTTGTGAACATTTTGGTTTTTTCTTCTCTCATGCTAGTTTGTAGTACAACTAACTAGGCTTTCTATACAGATAAGGGAGTCAACTAAATTCAAGCCCTCTTGACATTTTGTTTGTGACACAGGAGAATAAAGAAAAACATGGCATTTCAAGTAAATATGTAAAATAGATGAATTATCCAATATACGATGTCAGGACTATTTCAAACAAGGTTAGATTTTAGCCTCATACCATGTGCCAAGATAAACTATATATGGATTAAAGATGTAAATGTAAAAAAAAAAATTATTACAGTACTATACTAAAACATGGGTAAAGATTTAATAATGGAGCTGGGAAAGGTTCTTTTAAATGCGTAACATCAAAATCTGAAATCCCAAAAGAGCGAAAAATTTGTCCACGTAAATACTAAAAACCAATGGGTAGCAAAGAAATGTAAAAGGCAACAGAAAAGCTGGAAAAATAGTGCCAGTATACAAAAGTAAGGATCATCATATATAAAGAGCTCTTACAAACAAGTAAAAAGGGACCGATATCTAGTAAAAGGCCATAGGACATGAACACTTAATTTACAGGGTTAAAAAAAAAAAAAAAAGTTAATCCCCTTTGTCAAAGAAATGCAAATGAAACAAGACTTTAAAAAAAAAAAACCCAAAACATATTGGCGGGTGAAACTGGCTGGTACTGAGTGCTTTCTGTGGCTGCACTATTACTTTAATAGTTACCATAGCTCATACGGATGTCAAAATCAGCACACTGTATATTTCCATCTGTGCACTTTATGTGTGTTATACGTTAATAAAAGTTTATTTTAAAGCAGTTTACAGTTTGTTCGGAGGTGAATGATGACTGGTCTTTGAGTAGTTGGCCTGTGCGTGCTGTGATGGACATCTCCGTGTGGGATGATGGCAGGTACGTGGAAAGCTGTTCTGTTCCTGCTGAGGTTCATAAAATCTCTTCACACTTGGGAACTGCCATCTCCCTATGGCTTTATGACAGTTTCATGGCAGAATATTAGGTGTCATACATATCTCTGGAGAAAAACTTCATCCAGAATGCTTCCCATCTAGTCCTGTATTTTAATTGTACATTAATATGGTACTTATAAAAGAGCTCTGGTGGTGTTTGGCTGCTAATTAGAAGGTCAGTGGTTCAAACCCACCAGCTGCTCCATGATGGAAGATGAGGCAATCTACTTTGTAAAATTTACAGCCTCAGAAACCCAGTGGGGGTCGCTATGAGTAGGAAACAACCCGATGGCAGTGAGTTTGGGATTTTTTGAGGATGGTACTTATAAAAAACTGCTTTGCAGTGTTGTTTGTATTATTGCGCCTGTATCAACGTCTTTCTTGATGAGGTTGCGTCTTGTCTTTCACTTGAATTTGCCACAGCGCCTCCTAGCCTGGTGCCTTTCACCCAGCTGAAATATACAGTAAATGTTCATTAAACTGGCACTTCTTTTCCTTCTCTTTATGTCAATTAAAGCAACACAGCTTGAAAGTAAGTGGTTCACAATCTTGAAGAAAAAGGACAGTTCACTGGTTGACTTTCCCTGATAGTGTAATCTTGCCTTCTCCATGTTCACTCTTGCTGGGCACTGGCTTAAGAAGGGGCATGCAACTCAGACCTTCCCAGTGAAGCACTGGAAAGTCTTTTTAAGACTTGGGAAAGAGTGTTTCTTGTTCCTAAAAAAGCATAAGAGATGGATGGTGCTTTTGGAAAAGGGACTGGGGTCATAGCGTGGCTGGATGTTACTGTTAATGTGCCGTCGAGTCGGATCCGACTCGGGTTTACCTTGGGTTTCCGAGTTGGTATCTCTACGGAAGTAGATTGCCCAACCTTCCTTCCGAGGACTGGCTGGTGGGGTTTGAACCGACAGCGCTCTGGTTAGCAGTCAAGTGCCTTAGGCACTACGCTGCTGCCATCTAGTGGCCAGGGATGGAGCCAGCCTGAGGGTTAAGTGAACACAAAGATGGAAGAAAAGAATGACCCTCACTGCACCCAGCAATCCTGGAGATTGTATTATTATGGGACTTATTTCATGACGTAATGCATCTTTTATTGTTAAAAACATGGCAATAACTCTATGAGATATTTTGGTTGTATCCATTTTACAGGTGAGACAAATGCCATGAGAATACTAAGCAATTCCCTGAGGTTTCACATAAGTAAGTGATGGAGCCAAGAGTTAAGATCAGTCAGCCACATGCAGCCATCATGGGCTCCCTACGCCACTGTGCCATGAGCCCGGGCTCTGGAGCTGTCTGGATCTGGATCCCAGCCCAGCCATTTATCTCAGTTTCTCCTTCTATAAAATGGGGGTAATCGCATTTCCTCCATAGCATTTCTGTGAGGAATTAATGAGGGAATACACATCTGGTGCCTGGAACAATGCTCACTGAATGTGAGGTGGTGTGCTATAATAATACACGTTAGTTGCAAATATTTGATGAGGTGATGGACTCATTTACCCTTGGAGTCAAGAATTGCACTTCTAGGAATTTATCCTAATTAAGTAAGTATACTTTGTTTGCAAATTTGTATATAATATTTATTGCCACATTTAAAATAGTACAAAGTAAATGGCAAGAGAACAAGTTGAGTAAAAGTCATGAAAATATGCAGGAGTATGTTTATTGACACAGAAAGATGCTCATGATACATTGTTAATTAAAAAAGGGAACAAAGCTATGTAAGTATTGGACTAATTATGTGGGAAAAAGCAACCACCCAGTATATGCATTAATAGAAGAAGTCTAGAACAATCCTAAATACCATCTGCAGTTATTTCTGTGGAAAGACTATAGTTGAGTCTTACTTCCCATCTGAAATATTTTCACATAATTTGGTATTACTTAATCATTAAAAATTCCACTGAGATTATTTGTATTATAATAGTGTTATTGTTGTTAGGTGCCATCGAGTTATAATAATAATGATGAAAATCTCTTACTCGGTACATGTTGTGTCTGAAAGAATCTTCCTTCCAGCCCAGGTTTCCCCCTACAGCTTTTCCTTCCTAGGGGACAGGTACAGGGCACTCTCATTCCTCATCCTGGCTCTAGCTACTTTCACAGAAGCTCCGTTATCTCCAATGTTAGCTTTTTAGTTA